GCTGCATCTAAATTTAAGTGCTGAGGGGGGAGGAAGGAGTGAAAAATTAATGTCTTGGTCACATCGGCTTCTCATTTCCATTTTTCCTTTGAAGCCTCATCCAAAATGGGGAAGGCAGGAGAGTCAAACGCAGCAGTACCATATTGCTACCTTTGCCTTCTAGTAATTTAGGGTGCAGAATGGAAATATATTCTTCTCACTAGCACAGACACACAGAAGAGCTTTTGCTCACACAGTTCCCAGCTAAGTAGGGAAAAGCAGGTAAGGAAAAAGTGGGAAGCAGCCAAAGGGAGAACCCCAATGCAGGTGCCTGATCCACGCCTGCTCCTGAGCAGAGAAAAGCTCCCTAAAGCAAGCCTACAGACAAGGAATCCAAACTCAACACAAATGTGACTGTTTACCTCTCGTTAAAGACTTACCGTTTACCTTAAGGCACTCTTTTAACAGTGTAACGAGCTAACGGGCATAGTCCTTGCGGGGTACGCGGCAGGTACCCCGGGGGCTGTTGCTGTGTGTGGTGCAAAGCTCACCACAGTCAACAGGAGCCTTCCACCCACTCCAAAGGGTTCAGGTTTGGGAACTCTCGAGCCAGATGTGCTGCCAGTCAAACATCTGCAAGTACAGAGCAGCTCCTTTGACCTGCTCCTGCAAATCTAAACCAGCATCCCCAGAAGGGACATTTGGTTCCTTGGGCTGTTTACCTTCCCTACTTGACTTACTCAAGAGCACTAGGGTAACGTGCATTACAGCGACGTGGCCACTCCACGCCTGTGAAACCTGTACACACCACCTGCATGTGTCTCCTCACACAGAAAGAACAGGACTCTGCAATCAAAAATACAGAAACAGCAAGGACGTTTATATGAACTCTCTACTAACCTCCTTTCTTAATATTTTCATTCAGCCACACACGGCAGTCACAGGAACACCTTACTCGTTCCTTTCGATGGGCACAACCCATTCCAACATGTTGTGAACATATGTCCAGATTCCATAGCTTCACCAAGCAGTACACGACCAGCTATTCTCATTCTCCTTCCCAACAGTCGACAATTATAGTAGCTTTCAACTTAAAAGTACCTGGTGATGGCCCTTTCAAAATGTTATACTCTGGATGTGGCAAGGGTGGGCAGATATTTATACATTAGGATAAATCCTTCCTCTGTAATGCTGCAGTGCCAGTGTTCTGGGCATATACCAGGACTCCTGTGCAAGGTGTTGTACAGAAAAGTTCTTGAATAAGCAAATATCTGAGGAAGTCGCTGGTTGAGAACATTATCGAGCACAGCTTTGACAGAAAATGCAGAGAAATACTGTCTTCAGGAACCAATATGAAAAATCACAGTCCTACTGACTTCATTAAAGCAGTTACATTAATAGACAAGCTTGATGCTCAGGTTTTATTTTTCAATGAAAACCATCAGTTAGTGCCCAAATAACAACAAAAAAGGCCTATTTTGCTTGCCTAAAAAGTCTGCGTCATAAATCAAAATTAAATATAAAGAGATGTGCCAGAATGAAAATCAAAGACTAAAAGGATAGGATTCATTTTACCAACCTTTACGCTTCTAGGTGTAGGCAGCTACTTTTGTGCTAATTATTCTGCTTCCCTCTATAATCAAGTCAGAGAAAAATGCACTTTCAGGGGGCAATTCATCTAACCAAATCTAGGGATCTACATTAGGACATAATGAATTGCATCCCAGCAGTGCCTATTTCTTTGCAGTGAATATAAGGGGGGTCCAAACAAGGAGCTCAGACATCGATGTCTCCAAATTAATTAGCAGTTCAGTCAGCAGTGATGGCATCTGGACTTGCAGTAATGAGCACACAGTACTGGATCGTTGCAGTGGGGGTCTGGGTTTACATACTTTACATCAATATTAAAGCCAAATGCCATATTAAGGCAAATCAGCTGTTGGCCAAGTCCAGCATTTGTCAGAGTTGGTGCTTGTGTATAAGGCCTGAGCAGGAAGATTATGGAATAACCATATGGAATAAGGTATCTTTCATAAGTTTCACCATTAGCACTTGTCACACTCCTTCAGGTTTTCACAGTATGTTACGTATGCTCCGATGCACGCACACACACGTATTATGCAATGTAGCGGAGCAGTGACAGCCCTAAGCCCCTCCACGCGGGCTGGGAAGTCGCATCACCTGCCCACACAAGGCTTCCTCGTTACAGATAAACATGGGTCTGTTTTCATGCGGAAAACCAGCCTGTGCATGGAGGGCAGGCAGGGAGAAGCAGCTGGGGGGTACTCTCAGGCATATCGTATAATCCTTTCTGATCTTAAATGGAATTGGCAGTCCGTCCTCGCAGCACTTCTGGTTTTAAACACATTTGGGGTGGGCTGACCCTGGCTGGGGGCCAGGTGCCCACCAAAGCTGCTCTGTCACTGCCGTCCACAGCTGGGCAGGGAGAGAAAATACAAGGAAAGGCTCAGGGGAGGGAACACACAGCAATTACCACCATAGGTAAAACAGATTCGACTTGGGGAATATGAATTTAATGCATTACCAATCAAATCAGAGTAGGATAATGAGAAATAAACCCACATCATAAAACCCCTTCCCCCACCCCTGCCTTCTTCCTGGGCTCAGCTTTGCTCCCCATTTCTCTACCTCTTCCCCTCCAGTGGTGCAGGGGGATGGGGAATGGGGTTGTGGTCAGTCCCTCACATCCTGTCTCTGCTGCTCCTCAGGGGAGGATCCTCACACTCTGCCCCTGCTCCAACGTGGGGTCCCTCCCACGGGAGACAGTCTTCCATGACCTTCACCCATGTGAATCCTTCCCATGGGCTGCAGTTCTTCACAAACTGCTCCAGCCTGGGTCCGCCCAAGGTCACAAGTGCTGCAGCAAACCTGCTACAGACTCCAGCCTTGGCTCCTCTCTGCCAGCAAGCTGTCTCCAGCGTGGACTTCCCATGGGGTCACAGCCTTCTTTGAGCATCCCCCTGCTCTGGCATGGGGTCCTCCCTGGGCTGCAGGTGGGTCTCTGCTCTCCCGTGACCCTCCATGGCTGCAGGGCACAGCCGGCCTCACCATGGGCTGCACCACGGGATGCTGGGGAATCTCTGTTCCAGCGCCTGGAGCACCTCCTGCCCCTCCTTCTCCACTGACCTGGGGACATGCAGGGCTGTTCCTCTCGTACGTTCTCACGCCTCTCTTCGGCTCAGTTGCACAGTTTTAATTTTTCTCTTCTTAAACACGTTTTCCCACAGGCGTTGCGGCTGTGATGGGCTCGGCCTTGGCCAGCGGTGGGTCCATCTTGGAGCCGGCTGGCATTGGGTCTGCTGGACATGGGGTAAGCTTCTAGCAGCCGCTCACACCACTGTAGCCTCCTGCTACCAAAACCTCACCACGCAAACCCAATATAACATCATAAAACTGTATGATTCTATGAAATGGAAGGAGATTATTACAGAATGCCAATATTTAATAGTTTTAATATTAAAACGTAGTAGTGTCCTTACAGTCCGCGTGTTCAAAGCAGCATGCAAACGGTACTTATTCTTCACAGCAGCCCAAGGAGGTAGAAGACATTTGTTATAAAATAGCCACAGACTGGAAGTTCAGATTCCGATGCAAAGTTCCACAATGCTTTCCCTTCAGTTTGTAAGTAAATCCTATTAAAATATTTAGCTTAAAGGTCTGATGGTTTACTCAGTGCCACACATCAAACCGGTGGCAGAACCAGAATTAACTCCTCAGAGATCCTGACAGCAGCTACTGGCCAGTGTTTCCCATTTAAAATACTGTTTCTATCTGCCCGTGGGCTTGGTAGTCTCACATACATCATAACAACTGGCTCCTGTTTCACCTTCGAGGGCCTGTGGAAGATGTGTTAGGCCTCGCGGAGGAAAACAGGCTGCTTCTCCCTGTGTTTACAGCAACATCCTATTTTCAGCAACGGCTGAAAATTCATCGGGTGATGAATTCAGAAATTAACCTCCTCCGTCATCACTCCACCTAATTGCTTGGAGAGGACAAACTGGGACTCAAAGGGTCAGATGGGTCCATATTCGCCGAGGCTCTGGCAGGAGGGGCAGTTTTTATAGGGCTGCCCTTTAAATGCACATCTAGTTTAGAAATGAGTCAGAGTCCCCATGTGCCCTGGAGAAGTTCTGATCCGGATTTAGACCTGAACTTTAGATCTTCTTTATCTCTCTATTTCTGAAAGTTAGAGTAACTATTCAGGCTCCTGGGAGCTAAACCAGCAGTGTTTTATTTTCTCTCTTGCTAATGCATCAATTGATTTTCTTTTTGTGAAAAAAATTGATTTGGTTAATATTCTTCAACAAGGACGGATGCCCATCTTCAGCCTGCTAGCACCTTTATTTATCTAGCTAACAAGGAGGAAAAAACCCACAATCTGGAACGGAACAGCGACATTGTTTTGCAAAGTCAGAACAATCAATATGAGTTTTCACTGAGCAAGGGTATCTGGACGCCTACGTGCTCACTTGTTATAACCTCACATTTGATTCTGAAAGGTAACGATCACCGTATTAAAATATTTAATTGTAAAAACTCAGTTATCAGAGTATTGTGCAGATTTGAAAACATTCTGATCTGCAGGGTGTCCTAATTAGTAACTAGGTTTTAAAAATCAGGTGGCTGTGGAAAAAGAGATGTTTCAGATCATGGGTCTTGCTGAATCATCGAAGAACAGCTCATGGAGGCTGAAGACCAGAAAGTAGACAAATTATTTCATTAAGGAACATGACTAGGGATCCATCTGCCAAAAATACAATGCCATTTGTGCTAAACCAGCAGTGAACCCAAAACTTCAGTCTAGGTTTAACACAAGCCATGATGGCTTATTAAAACATAAGTACACTGCTCTTTTAACATGAATCAACAGAGGTCAGTCGACCTCAGCTACGGTCACATCACTTCAGTCTGTCTCCTAAGGGGAGAGGGCTAATCACACTGCCTGTACTCGCCGAAT